GGCCGCGCTTCCCCCCGCCCGCCGCTGCTCTCGGGGCTGCGTCTCTTCCTGCTGACTCTCAGGTTCGGTCCCCGACTCCGAGACCTTTGAAGTCTCCTCCCCACAGCCACTCTCCCTCCCCGCTTGTCTCGGCTCTTACTTGTGCTCTGTCCTGTCCCGAGTCTTCTCACCACCTTCTGCCTGGTGATCCTTGTATAAACTTGGAGCAGAATGTATCACTCCCATAGTTAAATGGTAAATGCCCCACCCCCCTTTATCCTTTCAAGTCCAAACTCACCAATGAACCTTTCCTATCTATCCAATCACTTCCTTATCCTCCGACGTCACAGCCAGAGAGATTCTTCCTCCAGTTGCATATCTCAGATTGTTCTGTGCCTTTGCTTTCTCACCATCATAGTCCAAGCCACCATCATTTCTCACCCACACTATTGCAGTGCTCTCAAAGCTGTTCTCCCTGCTTTCACCGTTGCCCCCATTCAATCCATTATATGCACAGTTGAATTATCTTTTTAAATGTAAGTCTGATGACATTCTGTTTAAAACCTTCAATAGCTTCCCAATACTGCTATGACTAAATTATTAATTCTCAAATGGTTTAAAAATCTGCCTACCTCCCTAAACTCATTAGCAGCATTGTCTCCTCACATATTCTAAACTCTAGGCTGTCTAAATACTTTCCCTTATCTAGAAAACTGTTCCCTTTGGTTGAGGCCTTTACTCACGTTGTTCTTTTTTTTTTTTTAAGTATATTTTTATTGATTTCAGTTGGTTGAGGCCTTTACTCATGTTGTTCTTTTTTTTAAAAGTATGTTTTTATTGATTCCAGAGAGGAAGGGAGAGGGAGAGAGAGATAGAAACATCATTGATAAGAGAGAATCATTGATTGGCTGCCTCCTGCACGCCCCCATACCTGGGACCAAGCCTGCAACCCAGGCATGTGCCCTGACTGGGAATCAAACGGTAGCCTCCTGGTTCATAGGTCGACACTCAACCACTGAGCCATGCTGGCCCAGGCTACTCATGTTGTTCTTTAACAGAAACTCATTCCAGACCTTCTACCTCTTTCAGGCTAATCATTATCCCCACTGAGCCTTCTTGGACCCAACTGCATTTCTCCCAGGAAACCTCTCCTGACCCTCCAGTCTGGGTTAGTCTCCTCTGTGGCTTTTCTCTGTCACAGTCTGATCAAGCTGAATTATCTGTCCCTCCTCTGTGCAAGGCCTGGCACATTGCCTAAGGTACAGTAGGCTCCTTCTTGGTTGAATGAACAAAACTCAAAAAGCAATGAATGTATGCAAAAGAAGGCAACAAGAAAGACGAGAGTTCTAATATTCACTCAACAAGAAGACAAGAGGCGGGTCTTCACTCCCTTTCTTTTATGCACCATTTCCTGATTTCATTTATTTACTTATTTAAATTTATTTATGTATTTATTTATTCTCCAGAACCTATGCTAAGCACTAGGAAAACTTATTTACCAGACCTGGCTTGTTGCTAATGGAGCTCAGAGTTCCCCTGGGAAGACAAACAGATGAGTCCTCTGCCTCACCCACCAAGGAGTTGTAGAAGGCCTAGAGGAGAGTGATTAGACCATTTGGGTGAGGACCTGAAAGGATTCTTGGAATCCCTATTCTACAAAATCACTATCTGACTTAAATGCACTCATATCCCATGTTAAATATAACCCTTTTGCTGTGTTGGGGTCCAGCCCCAGCAGGTCCAGGGGTTCCCAAAGGTGTGGTCCGAGTCTTTGAAGAAGGAATGACACAGAGACAGCGTTCAGATGATCAGCATAGCCAGGTTCTCCCTTTATTGTCCTGTTACCTCTGTATTTATACCATTTGATCCTATAAGCATGCCTCTATAATCACCTCATGGTATGTTTTGGGTAACTTTCTACAGTTCCTTGGTTCATTTCCATAGTTTCTTATCTGACCTTTGCCAAAAATCCCATCTCCATCTAGTTCTGTTGATTTTAATCCTATCCATTCTATTCCAAAGGTGTTATCTCTATTCCAAGGTTACTACTCTACTGTTCTGTTAAGCTACACGGAAGTAACTGAAGGAGATTATCCTAAGTAAAGATTATGTAGTTTAAGTGTGATTGTTCCTAGTAAAGGTGATTGCCCACCTGGCACTTAGTTAAGGGGTTTTACTGATTTATTCTCTTCCTTAGTCCTGTTAATCCCTAACTCCAGGGAAAAACCCCCACCCGGGGAAACAACCTTTCTCGGGGAGGTGGTCCTGGTTAAAACACATAGCGTTAAGAGGGGGAGCAAACATATGCCATATACACCAGGTCCCTTGAAACATATGCTGTGCAGATGTTTCTTCTCTTCAGCAACTGTGTCAAGCAGCAAGGGTGGACCAGCTTCCGGCATTGCTGTATGCCCTCTTCTCCAAGACTTGCCTTCCTTCCCATTACTAGCTCCCACCTAAATAGGTGTATAACTTAGGCCATGTTTGCATCAGCATCTTTCACACATCCCCCCAAATGATTGCTTAATTCTCTCTAGCTTGGAAAAATGAAATAATTGGATCCTTTGGGCAGAAAATTTCAGGCACAGGCCTCTTTCCCCCCATTGCCATTTTCCTTGTATCCTCTGAACTATTGCAACAGCTTCTTAAGGATGCCCCTGCTTCTGAATCATTCATCTATTTTCCACACTACTGCCATGAGAAATGTGATCAGAGAGCATTCATAGACTTGTGGTTCAGAAATTTTGCATGGCCTTAAGGCTTTGCACCATTTAGTTCCGTCCTTATTTCCAGCGCCAATGAGGCATCCTTACACCCCAGCTACATCACACTACTTGCCATGCCCTGTTTTCACTATGCTTTTCCACCTCTGACTTTTGACATGCTATCCCTTCTGTTGAAATTCAGCCATCTTTTAAGACCACTTTTTAAAATTATTTTTTAATGGATTGATTTGTTTGAGAGGGGCGGGAGAGGGAGAGAGAGAGAATGGGAGATCAAATTATTGTTCCACTTATTTATGCATTCATTGGTTGATTCTTGAATGTGCCATGACTGGGAATCAAACCCACAACCCTGGCGCAGTGGGACTACACTCTAACCGAGCCACCCAGCCAGGGCTAAGACCACTTTCTTTACACAGCTGTCCTTGATTTCACCTAATTGGAATATATGTAACAATATAAAATAAGTGGGATCTGTTATATTGTGTATATCTACATATCATAAATGAATTTCAATGTAATTTTTAATAAATATAATCATAGCTGCCATTTATTAGCTTGAGCCAGACACATTAAAGCCCTGAAAGGTACATATTGATATTCTTGTTTTGTAGGAACAGAAACATGGCTTCACATTGAGGCAGGTCAGTAAGCCACGATAAGTGGAATAGGGAAACAGACAGATAGTTAGATGGCCAAGCAGTTAATAGCCATTTAGTAAATCGCAAAATCCTATTTTCCCTAACCAAGGACAGTTAAGAGTAAATGGTTTACACTTCTGCTCTCCAACCAGAGGGTAAATAGCTTAAATCTCCCTTCTCAGAAAGATAGGTAGCAGAAATTCATTAGTGCCATTTGTGCCAACCACACCCAAGGACAATGAAGTTAAAAAAATAAACCAAATTTTGGCACATCAGCATAAAGCTGAGAAATATACTATTGAGATCCTCCCCTAAGACCTCCGCTAAACTCCCAAACTTTAAAACCCTCAAGAAGAAGGACCCCGCACATGCTTTCCCTCTCCCGAGCAAGTGCTTTTCTCTCCTGAATCATTAAGGGTCCCCACCAGAGTTGCACCTGCGGGGGGGGAGGGGGGGGCGGGCAATGAGCAGTAGCAGTTCATACCAGGCTAACCCCCTGAACCTGTCTCCAAGGCCACCTTTTCTCTGACTTTTCAGTAAGCCAACAGCAACCCCACCTTGGCTCACTTTTTTCCTATCATGTCTCTAGAGAGCCAAAGCAGCCCCACCAAGGCTCTCTCCTGTTGGTTGTTGGCAGCTATTGATTGATTGATTTTAAAGAGGAAGGAAGGGAGGAGGAACATCAATGTGAGAGAAAAATATCGATTGGTTGCCTCCCATATGAACCCCGACCGGGAATCGAACCAGCAACCTTCCCATGCACGGGACAATGCTCCAACCCAGCTGAGTCACACCAGCCAGGGCCTGTTGGCTTCTTTTATCCTAAGCCCTTCCTTGTTTCACTAGCCCCAGCTTTAATGAATATACTCTCAAAGTCACCTGGACTTGTGTTGTGAAATCTTTCCTACACAAAGTAAAAAACCCACATACTGTAGGCTGGCCAGAGGCAGACCCACTCTGGGTCTGGTTCCAGTCTGGTAACAACATAGCTATTCAGTAGTAAAGCCAGGATTTGAATCATATACAAGTTGCCTTTATTAGGCTGTGGGAATGGACTACATCTTTTTTCATCATGATATTCCTCCTTCAGTGTGTAAAAACAAGGGGATGGGAAAGATTTATCTTGAATGCCTTTGACATCCACATGTACCTTTGTAAGGAGGTAGCTATTCAATGATCTCTCTTTCTAACCCAGCTTTAGAAAGGACCTCTTGGGAAGTGCCCTGTGGACCAGAGTGTGAACTAATCACAAAACATAATTTAAAATCAGAAATAGTAACCAGGGCTATTGGAGTGACCAAGACTCTCCTTGACCTAACTCTTCCAGGCTCCTCTAAGCCTTAAAGGCCCTGGCCTTGGGTTCTGTGCTTGACCCACTTATTCCAGTTTAGCCAAAATCTCCCACCCTGGGTATCTGACCACCTTGACCTGACTTGAGCAAAAATCCTACCAAGTAGGTTTGGCTAGAATTCCCCTTATCTCCAATGTTTCCTCTTAGTAATTTAGCATCCACTGACTCCCCACCTTGTTCTTTACCCATAAATCCCCACTTGTTCTTTTTTTAAAAAAATATTTTTATTGATTTCAGAGGGGAAGGGAAAGGAGAAAGAGATAGAAACATCAATGACAAGAGAGAATCATCTATTGGCTGCCTCCTGCACGCGCCACACTAAGGATAGAGCCCGAATACCAGGTATGTGCTCTGACTAGGAATCAAACCATGACCTCCTGGTTCATAGGTCAACACTCAACCATTGAGCCATGCTGGCTGGGCCCCATTTGTTCTTTTTGCATTCACAATGGAGTGCAGTTCTATACTGAGGTCTCTCTTCCCCTACTGTAATAGTTCTTGAATAAAATTTGCCTTCACCACTTTAACTTCTGACTGGCTCTGGTTTTCTCTGACAATAGGTCTAAAGCAAAATCAGATATGAGAGCCAGATTTTCAAAAAGAATAGACTTTATTTTTTAGAGCAGTTTTAGATTCACATCACTATTAAGCAGAAGGTACGGAGATGTACCATTTACAGCCTGTCCCCATACATGCATAGCTTCCCCATTATCAACATTCTGCACCTGAATGATGCATTTGTTACAATGATGAATCTACAACAGGGGTGGGCAAACTTTTTGACTCGAGGGCCACAATGGGTTCTTAAACTGGACCGGAGGGCCGGAACAAAAGCATGGATGGAGTGTTTGTGTGAACTAATATAAATTCAAAGTAAACATCATTACATAAAAGGGTACAGTCTTTTTTTTTTTTTAGTTTTATTCATTTCAAACGGGCCGGATCCGGCCCGCGGGCCGTAGTTTGCCCACGGCTGATCTACAAGGACACATCAATATCACAAAATCCTTGCTTACATTAGTTTCACCCTTGGTGTTGTATGTTCTATAACATTGTTGTGGGAGAGAACATTGATTGGTTGCCTTCTTAGGTGCTCTGACTAGGGATAGAACTCACAACTTAGGTATGTGCCATGACCAGGAATCAAACCTGCAACCTTTCAGTATGTGGGACAACATTCCAATCAGCTGAGGCACACCAGCCAGAGTCCTTTTTCATTTCTGATGTTAGTAATGTGTGTCCTCTCTCTTTTTTTCTTAGCCTGGTTAAAGGCTTATCACTTTTATTGTTTACTAGAGGCCCAGTGCACAAATTAGTGCACGGATGGGGTCTTGGGCTGGCCTGCGGAGATCGGGCTCCAGCTTGCGCCTCCAGCCTCACAGCCCTGCAGCCCCGCCTGGCACTCCACCTTGGCCTGGTGCCGCCCCCTCATCTATTCCACCATCCTACCTGCAGGGTGATTAATCAGGGCTGGGCGGCAGCCCCAACCCTTGCCACTGGTTGCTGTCTGCGGGGCTATCAGTCGGGCGATCAGTTGGGGCCAGGCCCCCTGCCAGGCTCCCTCAGTGCCTGGGAGCCGGGCGGCGGCCCGCCCCCCTGCCACTGCCGCTGGTCGCTGTCTGTGGGGCCACCGGCAGGGCGATTGGGCCCCCGCTTGCACCCGCCTTGGCCTGGTGCCGCCCACTCACCTGCTCCACCATCCTGCCGCAGTCCCGCTCTTGTCAGGCCCATTGGGGCCAGCAGCGCCTCCACTGCCACCTGTGTCACCGATGCCCACCATGTTCAACACCGCCCCCTGGTGGTCAGCACATGTCATAGGAAGCAGTTGGACTCCCGGTCTCCTAGTCAAACGACTGACCGCCCGAGGGGACAATTTGCATATTAGGCTTTTATTATATAGGATAGCATATTATTGTGGTTTTGTTTTTAATATTTTTAAAATCTATTTTTATTGATTTCAGAGAGGAAGGGAGGGAGAGAGAGAAACATCAATGACGAGAGAGAATCATTGCATGACCCACACTGGGGATCGAGCCCCAACTTGGACATTTGCCCTGACCAGGAATAGAATCTCCTGGTTCAGAGGTTGACAATCAAACACTGAACCACACCAGCCAGACTATCTTGTAGTTTTGATTTGCATTTACCTAAAGATCAGTGAGCTGAGCATCTTTTCACATGCTTATTGGTCACTCTTATAGCTTCTTTGGAAAAATGTCTATTCAAGTCCTTTTCCCATTTTTGAATTGTGTTGTGTTGTTGAGTTTTAGAAGTTCTGTATACTTTGGATATTAAGCCCTAACCAGGTATATGATTTGCCAGTATTTTCTCTCATTTTGTGGTTTTCCGTTTTACTCTGTTGATAGTGTCTTTTGTTGCACAATTTTAAAAAGGTTTCATAAAGTCCAAGTTGTCTATTTTTTCTTTTGTTATCTATGCCCCTGGTGTCATAGCTAAGAAATCATTGCCAAGTCCAGTGTTATGAAGCTTTTTAATATATATATATATTTTAGAAAGGAATGAAGATGGAGAGAGAGATAGAAACATCCATGATGAGAGAGAGTCATTCATCAGCTGCCTCCTGCACGCTCCACACTGGGGAGAGATCACAACCCAGGCATGTACCCTGACGGGCATCAAACCGAGACCTCCTGGTTCATAGGTCTATGCTCAACCACTGAGCTATGCCAGCTGGGTGAAGCTTTTGATCTACATTTTCTTCTAAGAATTTTATTGTTTTAGGTCTTACATTTAGGGCCTTGATCTATTTTGAGCTAATTTTTTTATGGTGTTCGCTACACAACTTCATTATTTTGTGTATCTATTTTTTTTCCAGCACCATTTGTAAAAAAAATTGTCCTTTCCCCATTAAATGGTCTAGATGCCCTTGTAAAAAAAAATCATTGACTACATACATGAGGGTTTATTTCTGAGCTTTCTATTTTATTCCATTTGTCTATATGGCTGTCTTTATGCCAAGACCACACTGTTTTGTTTACTCTACCTATGTAGTAATTTTGAAATAGGAAGTGTGAGCTCCCCAGTTTTGTTTTTCTTTTTCAGGATTATTTTGGCTATTTAGGGTCCTTTGAAATTCCAAATAAATTTTAGGATGGTTTTTTCTTTCTGTGAAAAAAAAAGTAGTTGGGATTTTTATAGGGATTATATTGAATCTGTAAATTGTTTTGGGTAATATTTATACTTTATGAATATTAAGTCTTCCATTCCATGAACATGAGATGTGTTTCCTTTTATTATGTCTTCTTAGTTTCTTTCAGGGATGTTTTATAGTTTTCATTGTATTAGTGTTTTACGTCCTTGGTTAAGCTAATTCTAAGTATTTTATTCTTTTTGTTGCTATTGTTAAATAATTATTTTTGTAACTTCCTTTTTAAATTGTTCATTGTTAGTATATAGAAATGCAACTGATATTTGTGTTGACTCTGTATCCTGCTACTTTGCTGAATTTATTAATTAGTTCTAACAGTGTTTTTTTTAATCTTTAGGGTTTTCTACTTATAAGATTATATCATCTGCAAATAGAGATAATTTTACATTATCCTTTGGATGCCTCTATTTCTTTTTCTTGCCAAATTGCTCTGGCTAGGAGAACCAAGATGGCAGCATAAAGAATAATAAAGAATAATATACAGAGATTCAACAGTAGACTAGAGGATCCCAAGAATCAAGTCAAAGATTTGAAATACAAGGAAGCAAAAAACACCCAACCGGAAAAGCAAAAAGAAAAAAGAACCCAAAAATATGAAGTTAGTGTAAGGAGCCTCTGGGACAACTTCAAGCGTACCAACATCCGAATTATGGGGATGCCAGAAGAAGAGAGAGAGCAAGGTATTGAAAACCTATTTGAAGATATAATGACAGAAATCTTCCCCTACCTGGTGAAAGAAATAGACTTACAAGTACAGGAAGCGCAGAGAACCCAAACAAGCGGAATCCAAAGAGGACCATACCAAGACACATCATAATTAAAATGCCAAGGGCAAAAGACAAAGAGAGAATCTTAAAAGCAGCAAGAGAAAAACAGTTAGTTACCTACAAGGGAGTACCCATACGACTGTCAGCTGATTTCTCAACAGAAGCTATGCAGGCCAGAAGGGAGTGGCAAGAAATATTCAAAGTGATGAATACCAAGAACCTACAACCAAGATTACTTTACCCAGCAAAGCTATCATTCAGAATTGAAGGTCAGATAAAGAGCTTCACAGATAAGGAAAAGCTAAAGGAGTTCATCACCACCAAACCAGCATTATATGAAATGCTGAAAGGTATTCTTTAAGAAGAGGAAGAAGAAAAAGGAACTCTTACCATTTGCCACACCATGGATGGAACTAGAGAGCATTATGCTAAGTGAAATAAGCCAGTCAGAGAAGGATAAATACCACATGATCTCACTCATTTGTGGAATATAATGAACAACATAAACTGATGAACAAGGACTGATCCAGAGATGGAGAGGCATTGATTGGACTGTCGGGCCTTGGAGGGAAGGTAGGGGAGGGCAGGGTTAAGGGGGAAAGATCAACCAAAGGACTTACATGCAAGCATATAGGTCTAACCAATGGACACGGACAACGGGCATGGAAATGGAACAGACTGACAATTCTCAGAGGGAAGGGGGAGTTGGGGGGTATAGGAAGAGATTAGACAAATATCTTATATGCATGTATGCATTACCTATGGACTCAGACAGTTGGATGGCAAGGGCCTGGGATGGGGTGGGAACTGGGTGGAGGGGAGCTATGGAGGGAAAAAAAGAGGAACATCTGTAATAATCTGAACAATAAAGATTTTAAAAAATCACTCTGGCTAGAACTTCCAGTACTATGTTGAAAGTGGGTATTCTTGCCCTAGCTGGTTTGGCTCAGTGGATAGAGCATCAGCCTGCAGACTGAAGGGTCCTGGGTTCGATTCCAGTCTAAGGGCACATGCAGGAGGCAGCCAATCAATGGTTCTCTCATCATTGATATTTCTCTCTCTCTCTCTCCCTCTCCCTTCCTCTCTGAAATCAATAAAAATGAAAATATTAAAAAAGAAAGTGGGTATTCTTACCTTTTTCCTGATCTTAGAGGAAAAGCTTTCAATTTTTCACCATTGAAAATATGATGTTAACTGTGAGCCTTGAGAAGTCTGTTAGAGAAAGCTGGAAAGGCCTGGAGAAGATCAATGGTGAGGACTTGCAGAACAATCCAAGAGTTGTTATTGAAAGGTAGAGGAAGGTTTGGCAAATGGTTACTTGTGGTAACATGGAAAATAGAAAGGTACCTAATGAACTTGAGGACCTGGCTGGTGAATTTCCAGGCAGAAAGTGTCATCTGTTGTTGTTTTTTTTTCTTTTTCTTTTTTTTCTCTAGCTATCCATGATAAAATATAAGAAGAGAGAGGTAAACTGAAGAAGGGTCCAGGATAGTATTTCCAGACAGCACAAGGATCCCAAAGGAACAAATGGCCTCATGATGAAAATCAAATCCAAGGTGCTGCCAGCAAAATGAGATCACAGGGTAAAGACAAGCCAAGGATGCAACTGTAAAATCTTGTGTTAAGACCTCGGAAAGATTTAAGGCAATGTCTCATAAATCCTTTAAAAATTATTCCTAGGAGGGAAAAATTCTGAGGATCTTAATGCTGTGCCTCAGCCTCATGGATCTTCTGTGTTAAACAATAAGGTTTCTAAGTCTTCATGGTGTGATTCTACAGCAGCTTCACAGGGGGCCCAAGGTTGAGAAAGGCTATCTGAAAGAGAATTTGTGGGTGTGTCTCTTGGATAATGAGTAGAGTATAATTTGATACACAGAAAACTCCAGATTTTACAAGGATTACATTAGCTTGGCCTGAAGCTAGCAGAGACAGTACAAAATTAAAAGAGATCTTTGGACTCCTAACCTACTATGGGCAGAGAGAAGGCTGAGAAACTTACTCAACTATAAAAATGGGCTATTTTTTATGGAAAAAGAAGGATGACTCACAGGGCAGAACAAAAATCACAGAGACCCATTCCCAGGGAGCATAACTAGACCTTAATTAAGGAACTGGCAACATGTGCCTAGCCTAGCTTTCAGAATTTCTATGCTCCAGTGATTGCTATGGCCTTCCATTCTCCCTACCTACCACCACCACCAATCTCTTTTGAACATCAGTGTCTGTTGCAGTTATCTTATGCCTATCTCACCATTGTAGTCAAGAGTGTGAAGGGGAAGGTAATTTATTTCCTTAGTTCAGAGATCTTTATGTTGAAAGGAACAATACTCAAGAAGGTACACTCTAGGAGTTATATCTCAGGAGCCTCATCCACACCAGGAACTTATTCAGATGATGAGGTCATGGACTTTAAAATCTGATGCTACAATGAGCTGAGTTTGGGGGGATAGATACTTTGAAGAGGTGAATGTATTTTTTCCCATTTTTTATCTTTTTTTGTGTGTGTGAATGTATTTTTAAAAATTGTAAATAATTTGTAGCCAAATGGCAGACAGTGACAGATAAAGATGGCTATAAATTCTTTGATCCTCCTGTGATTGACAGGTGGGGTGAACCTCTCCTTCTCTGGAGTCTGGGTGGGCTCTATGATTGTTTTGACCAATAGATTTCTGCAGAAGTGGCACTGTGCTTATTACAAGTCCAAGTCTTAAGAGACTAGTAATTCTCACTTCCTGTCTCCAGGGAATATTTTCTCGTTGAGCCCTGAGCCACCATGAACTCTGCTGGAGAGACCACATTGAGACTTTATGGAGAGAAGAGGGGACCAAATGAAGCCAGCTTTCTAGCCATTCCTTCCAAGGCTCAACGCATGTGAGTGAAGCTAAATGAATACCTCTAGGTTACCTAAATTGACTCCGTGTGGCACAGAAGGGGCTAGCCTAGCCTTGACTGGATTCCCAACTTACAAAATTGTGAGAAATAAAATGTTTGTTGATCTAAGCCACTAAAGTTTGGGACTACTCCAGATGGAATTTAGGCATTTTTTAAGTGACTAGAGGAACATAGACTATGTGTAATTATGTATTCAATAAATATTTTAATAAGTTTTTTTAAAATAAATCTTTATTGTTCAGATTATTACAGTTGTTCCTCTTTTTTCACCCCATAGCTCCCCTCCACCTGGTTCCCACCCCACCCTCTGCCCTTACCCTCCCCACTGTCCTCATCCATAGGTGTACGATTTTTTTCCAGTCTCTTCCCACACCCCCCAGACT